ACGCTTTTGGTGAGTTCTGTCAGTCTGCTTCCTTTCTAAAATTAAACAGAAAAAACATTTGCAGGTGTGGAGGGAATTTCAGTGGAATAGAGCCTGCACTGTAAGATAACTTATTGTCTTTCCCATGTAAAAATGCATTTAAATACTAGGTGACCTTACTGAAAATATTTCATACATTGCCAAATCTTCACAGAAATACGTTTGTTTTTTTTTTTTTTTTCCTATGGAAAAGAAACAATCCTGTTTAAACTTCCCAAGCATCTCCTGTAACAGCATCAGTGCTGTTACACAGTCACAAATGAGGGTTTTCTGGACTGATGCATGTGCTCATTGTAACCTCGTGCTGATCTTGTTGAAGTTCAGCCACCGAATAATTCCCTAGACTCACTGAAAGTGAGATGTAATTTTTACTTAAGCTGTCCAATTATAACAACCCCCACAGTGAGGGATTCATTCAGGTCCTTTCCTGATAAAGATTTCTAAGACTTTTTCTGCTATTGTATTGAAAAAAAAGGAACAAAAAAAAGAAGAAAGAAAGGTGTATTCCTGTTCTTATCAGAGCTATTGCAGGAGAAGAAAATTGTGATAGTAAGGTTTGCAATGGTGGTTTAAGCTTAGTGATAAATACCAGGCAGGAAATGTTGCTTCACTTTCAGGTGGAATGGCACAGAAAGTATCCAATCAGCCAGTCCCTCCCTCTTCCATTGTTGCTTTTTCTCTAATTTGCCTCATTAGTCCTGCATTAAGAAGGAATCAGATAGGGAAGTAGCCAGGAGGAAAGAAAATAAAAATCACAACAGCAACCTCCAAAAATTTCCAAGACAGATTTGTAAAGACAGCTTATTTAAACATGCTGAAAACATGTTTCCTTTCTCCACAAGGAAAAGCCTTAACCCGTAAATCTAAATAGATGTATTTCAAGTAAATGATTTCCTAGATTCAGTCCTATGTAGAAGATTATTTGCCTTTACACAATACCGAGGTCAAGCAGCAAAGTTTTGTTGTCATCAGTGCTTTTTTATTGTGCTTCCTTAAACACAATGCTTGTTGGCTATTTTGGAATGCAAAATCCGAGTGATTGATCTCAGGCACTTGATGAGCCTTTTGGAGATAAAAGAAGGGCTGAAATTTCCAAAGGAGTGCCCAAATCTTAGGTACTCCTGGATCCACCTGGGCAGTGCAAGCACCTGAAAGAGCTGAGTGGATTACCCATTAGTAAGGAAACAAGCCTGTCAAGAAAGGCTGCTTATCTGATAATTTAAATAACAAATCTCCCAGGAGGTGGGATCTTGTCCAGGATGGGAAGATTATGCCCCTTCTGTTTAATTAGCAGCCATCTGAATGAGAATAGATAGTGACTGGCTAATAATGTTTTCTGCTTTACAGCTCTTGCTATAGTCCTGGGTTTTTCAGCTTATTGCATGTGACAAGTCAGCCTCCAACACACTGTGAGTTTATGCAGGGCCATATAAGGAAATCCTCCCCAAAAATGTGGAACTTCATAAAACGTCCTCATGGGCTTTTGAAGCCATCATATCCAAACTCCTACTGTGAGGCAAGAGAATAGATTTTTTCCCTGTTCTATCGGCTGTGAATGGCCAGCCAAGTGCATTATCTAGTGCCACGTAGGAAGTCTGAAGAGCTGAATCCCAACTCAGCTCCAGCTCAAACTCATGGACCATCCACACTCTGCAGGAAAAATTTCAGTGCCTTTTAGCAGAGAAAGGCAGAACAAATAAAGCCGGTGTGACAGAGAAGGCTTTGATTTCAACAATAAAACAAAAAAAAAGAACAAGTAAGATCAACTAATTATTACAGCATAATTAAAAGCACGAAGACTGTAAACTCCACTTTTCATCCTGGAATGATGGTCAGGCAGACTCTCCAAAAACCAAATGACAGTACAGGCACCAAACCCCTGTCCCTGGGGCTAGGTCCTGCAGTCACCTGGTTACACAGAAACCTCAGGTTTTTGAGGAAAAACCACTCTGCCATTGAGGATATTAAGAGTTTTTCAGAGTGGGTGGTGCAGTGGTGTCTGCCTGAGCAAGAGGTCTGTGCTTGATCAAGGACAGGTTGTGGTAAATAGCACAGAGAAAAAAAATTTCAGATGATTTTGGTATCAGTGGGATGGGGCTTGGAGCAGCCTGTTCTGGTGGAAGGGGTCCCTGCCCATGGCAGGGGGTGGGACTGGATGATTTTAAAGGTTTTCTTCCACCCAAACCACACTGAGATTCTGTGATTGCTCTGGGCCTCCCGCTCCACAGCCACCTCAGCTGGAGGAGATGCGTGGCCAGCCAAACCTCCTCTGAAGTACATTTAGAGTCTTGTACATAATTAAGATTATATGTCCAAAAATATACACTCTGGAAGCGCTTTGCATTTTAATACAGAGGAAAAAAATAATGTCTCTTGTGGTAATGTTGCTTAAAAAACAGAGTAGTGATGGTTTTTAGGTTGCTTTGTGCAATCACTCAGAGTCGATATTTCTGATAAGGACTAAAAATATTACAGCAGCTTTTCTTCCATGTCTTCACTAAGTATTTGATTCTATTTAGGTTTTGTTTTATGAATGATACAGCTAAGAGCATTGCCAAAGGTTTTTTCCCATTAATTGTTTGCTGATATGGTTTTATTGGAGATGGTGCAATCACCCAGATCTACACCAATGGAAGCCAGAGTCATGCCTATGCTCATGCAAAGATCTATTCCATAAGAGAAATGCAAAATATTATTTTATTTGTCCAGTAGCCTATTCCACTCAAACTGTGAGAATCTCCCTGTATCACTGTCCCATTATCAGTGTCTAAATAAGGAACTGGAAAACTACAGAGGGGCTGGGTGGGGACCTAAGAAAGCAATTCAGCAGTCTGGAACTTCCTCTGCTAAGCAATTCTGGCACCAGTCCCAGGCAAAATCAGAGCTCCTCAGCCAAAATAAATCTGTGCAATGACGATATCAGATGTGAGGTAACAGCAAGTCATGCTGGAGGATATCAGACATTCTTGAACAAACCACAGGGCCTAGATGTAATACTTTGCCACTACACTGCAGCCCTGCCAGCTAAGCAAACACAAATTTTGGAGTCATTTTGGCAAGGCAAGTGAGAGCATATGGAGTCTGTGTGCTGAGGGTGGGAGCTGGCAGGCTGCTGAGCACCTCCAGCTCACACGCCCCCAAATAGCCACTAAATATCCTTCATTCCCACACTCTCATCCCTGTGGAAGCAAGCAGCTCTGCAGTATTATTTCTACAAGAAACAGCTGCAAGGCTCGTTGAAATCTTTCCCTGGCTCTCAGGACATTATTTATGAAACTTTCTGCCACTAACCTTACAGTTTTCTTTAATTTTTGTACCTATACACACGTTCTTGAAAGCAAATGGATCCTAAACTTGAGTAAATTAGTTGGTGTGCACTGTAATTTAGGTCTGTTAAACACTGAAAACTTGAGATGGAGTTAATTTAGTTCCAGCTGAAAAGGGGAATGTTTTATTAGAGGTAATAAATTCAGTGCAGAACAAATTTATTCAGACTGTGCTGGTTAAATTGCCTGGATAATTAAAACCTATGATGGGTAAGATGACACGTGGTAGGAAAAGGTTAAGTATTTAACTCATTTTCCTTTCATAGTTTGATTCATTGTAAGGTAAATACTACTTGTGTGGGGTATGTTAACTTTATTTCTAAAATGTGTTCACCCAAGCAGTGAATAGGGGTTTCACAAAGTTAAGAAAATAGAAAGCTAAACTTTTATGACATTTGTATGGGCCAGCTCTAGTCAGAAAGATGTAAGCACTGAGGAAAATATAAGCACTGTAGAAACTGTGTCATTTTGCCCATACAAGGGGCTAGCTGCCTGGTGAATGTCTGGCATTTATGTGAATTCCAGTTCTTACAGATATCTATTTTTACCCTTCCTTAAATTCTTCCTGCAGTGACACAACAGAAATCCCAGCGAAAATCGAAAATTGTTAGGAGTGATTTCCAACTATTCTCTCGCTTTTCTTGACATAACATTATGCAAGCATCAGATTCTTGTGCTTTGTTTGGGAGCAAAGTGAGGGCTTATCCCACCTCTGCTGGCTGCCAGGACAGGAGGCTGTATGTCCCCTGACAAGAGCTGCTGCACAAGTTTCATTCAGCCTGAAAAAAGTGTTGCTACTTCTCCTGCTGGATGATTGCAAAACCAGACTGAATCCTCTCAAATTTTCACCCAAAAATGACATTGTACTGTATTTCACAGCCATTTGAATGTTCTTTTGTGAGTTTTTGTTTATTTGTTTGTTTTGCACATACCAAAACCCATATTTTTACTTCTAAATGTAGTGCATTTTGAAGAAGCACTTTCTGCTGTTCATATATTTTCATAGATGTCTGGGGCTGGTTTTTCAGCAGAGGGCAGAATTTGAATCTTCATTTCTAAAGCTGAGAGGCTGCTGTCTGGGCTCAGACTGCCACCTAGCATTTTTAGTGGAAACACCAATCTCTAGTGGTTTTGGGGGCCACATTCTGACTCTCTCTTATGTTGCACCTAATTCTGCATGTCATCCTGTGGAATGACTTCATTAACTGACTGAAATCATCCAATGTCATAAATAATCTAAATCTGGAAGTTAGTCTCTAATTTCTCACTTAGTAGATGTGCTCTCATGAGGGTCATGGGATATTTACCCTATTTTCTTGCGTTATACTTCATGATATTTATGTAGGAAAGAATGTTTTTGACACACATAGGATCCAGTTTTGTTTGTGTCTCTTTGTTTTGCTCACCTCACATCAGTTTACAGTAAATGAGAAGTTAGACAGAATATTTTTCCCCTTGAGATAATCTTTAATATAGTGGGAGGATATTATAAATCTACCTTTGCTTAGTCCATGCTTAGCAGTCTGAATCAAACAGGTGAGATTGCTTTTTGCCACAGGTGATATCATGTGCTCTTTTGTCAATGTAAATATTCTCCAGCACTGAGAATGATGAATTTGCTTCTCTTTTCTGCAGCAATATGAGAACTGGAGACCAAACCAGCCAGACAGCTTCTTTTCTGCTGGAGAAGACTGTGTTGTAATAATCTGGCATGAGAACGGGCAGTGGAATGATGTCCCGTGCAATTACCACCTCACTTATACCTGCAAGAAAGGAACAGGTACGAACTTTGCAGTGACAAATGCATAATTTGCTAAATTGCCACTCAGTATTTTTTGCCATGTTCTTTGGACCTTGATGGATCCATCAGTTTTCAGTCCTTTCGAACAGACTGTCACTGAGGATTACATGTAGAGTCCTGGAAGAAGGACTTCTTCCTTAAATGTTTGCAGTAACTTCACTGCTTTTCACGTTTCTTTGTGTGAGTATGCCAATTTTTTGGCTTGAATTTACATTTAGAATTTGAACCAAAAAAGGCAATGCTGACCACAATATCTGCCATTTTCCAATTTCCAACACTATTATCTTTGGTTTACAAGACAGGAGGTCTACAGGGCAGACTGATCCCCCTGTCCTTGTCTGGATGTTCCCCTTGGGAGTCCAGCTGAGGTCCCTTGTCACCTTCCCTTAGCCAGGGCTCAGAGGACAGTCCCAGCTCAAACTGGGCTCACAAACTGTTTTGGGTGATGCCCTCTCTTCCTTCCAGTGGCTTGTGGCCAGCCTCCTGTCGTGGAGAATGCAAAGACCTTTGGGAAGATGAAGCCCCGTTACGAGATCAACTCCCTCATCAGATACCACTGCAAGGACGGCTTCATCCAGCGCCACATCCCTACCATCCGCTGCCAGGGGAACGGGCGATGGGATATGCCCAAAATTACTTGCATGAATCGTGAGTTCTCTGAAAGCAAACTACTGGCAAATCAGAAATACCGGGCTAATTTAAGATTAATGAGTAATGAATGTGTATTTTGAGAGAGGAGCAAGTCTGGCAGGACGGATAATGGCGAAAAAACACCAAGCCTCTGAAACTAATGGAAATTTTCCTCTCTTGTGTCTACTGATGCCTTGGAGTGGCTGCCTAGAACAGGGGCTAGACTAGATTAAGAGAGTAAGAGTAGATCTTTATTAAAGGCCTTCAAAAGGTATACCTTGGGCAGTCAAAAGCCTCCCAGAGGCTGCACCCAAAATGGAAAATGAGTTTTTCAGACAATTATAAGTGTGGTTCATTTACATTTCAGGGGTTAATCCTCCAATTACAGCTTCAGGTAATGAAGTCATTTACCCCCAGTTTGCTCCTCCCCAACCCACTTTTGTTTGTACATTCAGGGCCTGAGGCTGTCCTCAGGCCTAGAGGAGTTGTGTTGTCTGACCAAAATGTGAAGAAATAACTGACACTGTATATGCAGTAATGCAGTTCAGGATCTGAAAAACACAAGCGCTAAAATCTTAAGGCATCACTCCAGAAGGCATTAAGACTATTTTGAAGTTAGCAAATCAGGGAGCCAACAGGTTCCTAATAATGCTAATGACTCTTTCTGCAGCTGTGTGTGTATGCCTGTAACACTGCCACAGCTCCAGTTAATCATTTGTTTACCCTCTTAATTAACCAAACTGTTTCGTGAAGTCTAGCCAGCCCATTCACAGTTCGATTTTAAATTAATCTCCCCTTCTTTTTTTTCTCCTTCTCCCTTCTCTCTGCAGCCTCCACATACCAAAGGACTTACTCTAAGAAATACTACTACAAACACTCCTCATCAGGCAAGGGGACGTCGTTAAACTCATCCAAGCACTACCACCGCTGGATCAGGACGTGGCAGGACTCGAGGCGCTGAGAGCTAAATGGTGAATTGGGGATTTCCACCATTTCAGCCAAAGTCGTAACTTTCTGTGCCTTTTTCTATCACTTATAGGAGTATTATCGAATCGTTTTGAAACTATGGACTGCAGTATTCACGACGCGTTTTGCAAAAAAAAAAAACCGGAAAAAAATAAAAATTACGGTGTTTATCAGAAAATTTAAGAAATAAATAAAAAAGAGGAGAAGTGCTTATGGGGATAAAAGGAAACCATTTCCAGCCTATAAAGATTATTAGTTTTCTATATGCCATCGGTGTGGACCATTTTATGATATGTACCAGCCTTCTGCAATATTTAAGCAGCTCAATTTTAGCACCAATGAAAATGTAAATAAGATGATTTTAATGTTGTTTGACTGTGTGTTGTTTTTAAAATCCTGTATATAAAATGAAAAGTCACACTAATTTCAGGCATATTTATGGTTAGAACGGCCTCAGAGGTCTTCAGTCATTTATGACATTGTTTCTGTGTTGTTTACCTAGGCTGGAAATGGTTGAAATAAAGACTTCACTGACTGAAATTTGCAGTTATCAGGTGAAGATAAACACACAAGTGACATTTTCTTTCTTTTTTTTTTTTTTTTTTTTTTTTTTTTTTTTTTTTAATGGGAGCTGTGCCAATTCCCACCCGAGGTACAGTTTGTGTCACATGAGATGAAAAGTTTAGACGGAGCACATAAAAGTGGCACGAAGCATGAACTAGGGACTGTAATATGGAACATTTCTGCTCTCCATCCCAGCTTCAGCACATGTGAGAAAGGACTGTGTGGAGGAGTTGTGTATGACAAGGAGAGCCTGTAAAATTCCAAGTGCTAATACATTAACTTTATCAACCAGGGCCACTTTTTTTTCTTTTTTTTTTTTTTTTGAGAAGAGATAAAAAAAGGAAACAAGGAAAAAAATTACTTTCATGATATTAACCACAAGGTCTATATTACAGGTCTCTGCATTCTAAAATGGAGGTAGACCTGGTGTTTGGGGGATTTTTTTTTTTTTGTAGAAAACAAACAAAAAATCAAAAAAGTAAATAATTTTGTATATATAACCATTTTTTAATCTTTTTATAAAGTAATGAATGTTTGTGTATGAATGCTGCAGCTGTGAAGCGTACATAAATAAATGAAGTAAGCCATACTGATTTAATTTATTGGATGTTATTTTACCCATACAAAGAAGATTCAAAGAGCTCACCAGTGCAGTATTAGCCCCTGAGCTCCACTTTTGGAACCATCTTTCACTTCAGCTTGCTCTTTTTCCCCGAAGGACAAAAATTCCTGCTAAACAGGATAATTTGTTGGCGGCTAGATGGGTGAGAACTGTGCGTGACCCACAGAAGAATCAGGATCTTGGCTTTCTCTAAAGAAGTGTGTGCACAGATTGGTTCTAGGTTGTAGTTTGGTGCAGTGTGTACGTAGGAGTTTTCTGTCATGATTTCTTGCCCTGGTCAGTGCCACCACTGGCCTGGATGTGTACAGTGAGTGTAGGAGGTGACGTTTGAAACGGCCTCTCCATGGAAAGGACTGTTGTTCCTGCAAAGTGCCTTGCACACCTTTGGGAAAAAAAAAAAAAAAAAAAAAAAGTGAAAAAAAGATTTAAAAAAAAAAATTAAAAAGGAAAAATAACAACAATAGGTAAAAAAAAAACCCCTTGAAAGTAAACTAAGTTCCTTAGGATGTACCTTTTAAAGTAACATGAAAAAACACACACAGGCGCGAGGTTTACGCCTCTGTGTTTGTGGGGTTGTGATGGGGACAAAAAAACTGAGAGGGAAAGGAGAAGAATTGAAACCCAGCCAGCAGGGCAGAGCTGCCCATGGGCTGACCTTGCCACAGAGTTCAGACAACACCCCTGACCCCGAGGAATGGCAGAGGCTGCTCCCCACCCTTGTGGCAGGACCTCCCTGCGTTGGCCGGTCCCTTCCCCACCCCTCACCCCCAAACAATGCACATAATACTTTTCTCTATTTATATTATTATCTTGTAAAGTGTATAATGTGAATGTCTGGGTTTTTTTTTTTTATTATTTTTTTGTGAATGGAAGTCTAAAATCTTTGTAACTTTTATATCTGCTTCTGTTTCACCAAAGAAACAAGGTTTTGCTATACTGTGACTTGTCTTGTTATTGCATGTCTTCCTGTTTAAATCTATGCAATGTGATTTTTTTTCATATGAGTACAACTAAACTGTCAGGTACTTCACAATTACCATGGGCTTGGTCAAGTGCCCGCTGGAGTCAAAGAGTCAGCTGGCTGAACTTTAGTAGGTGCTGGATTTGACTTTATATGAGCAGCTTTAGGGGATATTTTAAGATATACATTGTATGTTTTGAAGTCGATTATTGCTTGTAAAAGTCAAGGCTCTGTTCATAAATTTACACTAATCTACACATCACTTCCTTGTACCCGAAACACACAGAACAGAAAAATATATTTTAACACTTTGCAAACTTTCTCACCATATGTATAAAAAACCCCTGCATAGATTTGTTGTTTTCTTGTCTACTTGTTGGATTTAACAATGTTGTAAGACATTCAGATAACATTGTGATTGTAGTTTTAATTAGGTTAGATGCAGTGCTTATATTGATTTTTTTCACCTCCTTCTATTACGCATAATAAAATAGGACTGACAACATTCCTTATTAAAAAAAAAAAACAACAAAAAAAAACCACTTTAAAAAACTGTCACCCATGCTTGTTTATTTAGACAGGGAATGAAAAGTTATTCAGCTCTGTAGAATTTCTCAAACACTGATGTAAACTCCAAAATGTTTCTGTACCATCACCCTGCAAAATGCACAGACCTGTGTCTCAGGGGTGGCTCTGTCAAGGTGCTGCCATGACAAATGCCATCATTCCTTCACCTGGAGCATCCCTGAGCTCCACGCTGGGGAACAGTGCTGGTGTGGATGGAGGTATAGACGACAGTACAGAGCTGTCACAAGGATCTGGGCTGCCAGGACAAAAGGAGATGGCTTCAAACTGAGAGAGGGCAGGGCTGGGTGCGAGATTGGGAATGAGGAATTGTTCCCTGGCAGGGTGGGCAGGGCTGGGATGGGATTCCCAGAGCAGCTGGGGCTGCCCCTGGATCCCTGGAATGCCCAAGGCCAGGCTGGACACTGGGGCTGGAGCAGGTGGGACAGTGGGAGGTGTCCCTGCCGTGGCTGGGGTGGCACCAGGTGGGATTTAAGGCCCTTTTCAACCCCAACTATTCTATGGTTCTATGATCTGAATGCAGATTTTGCATTTTTTGTGCCCATGGCAGTCTCTGCAGAGTACCCAGTGCTGCTCTGAGCATCCTCCTGTCCCTTCAGACACTGACAGCATTTGAATCCCCGGGGTGCACCCCACAGGGCAGAGATCAGCCAGGACAACTCCTCTGGGAGACCTTCTCAAGCAGCAAGAGAAGGTGCTGGTCGGGGCACACATTCCAGTTTTCCACCTACACTCTGACAGATGCACAGCCTCATGAAATTAGATAGAGACATCTCCGTGATGGCAAAACCTTGGCTTAAGGGGATCTCCTGCCTGAGACATCCCAACTTGTCAGAGGCTGGGGATGGAGGAGCCCTGTAGGAGGCAACACAAGTCTCTGGAACTGCAGCAGTTGGGCCAGCAGGATGCAAGCAGCGGGGTGCCAGTGGAAAGGATTTGCTGCCAAGAGGGCTTTGGCATCAGAAATTGATTTGCCAGGCTGGAGGAACACTGAGGTTCACCACATGGTGAATGTGGTCAATGTAATACCCTTCCTAAGAGAAAATTGTTCATTTCTGTAGGTGAGATCTCTGCCCTGAGCACAAGCAGAGGCCATCCCTGGGCCATGGGAGTTGAAACAGCTGGTGCAAAAAGGCAAATCCATTCTTTTCCAGAGAAAACACACAACTTGTGTTAGTGATTTTGAGCAGCGACGTGCGTAGGACTCCATGAGAACATTGTTTTTCTTGATGAATGATGAAAGAGATACAAACAAGGCTTGGAGGAAACACGGACAAAAGCTTGAAGGCCACACAAAGCTGTTAGCATGGCAGAGAAAAGAAGGAAGGACAGAAACATCGTCCAGAGAAGGTGTATAATTTCAGCCCTCCAGCAGCAGCAGACCTGGAAGGAACTTAAGGGCTTGTACAGTGCAATTTGATGGCAAACTTTGTTTTCCATAGCAAATAAATATTTCCAGGTGGGGAAGCCATCAGCTGTTAGTGCAGCAGAAGCTCAGTCAATGTGTAAATGCTGATAAAACAGGGAAGAAGAGTTCTACGAGTGAGGAATTTATTGCAGGGGCAGGGATGAATTCGTGGCAGTACAAAAATGCCTCCAGATTTCCAGATGCCAAAAGGTGGGACAAATGAAATGAAGCTGAAAATTGCCCAGCAGCCATTTCCCAGTCCGATTTCTGTGGTGCTTGGAGGAGAGAGTAAAAGGAAGACACTGTTGGTGGTCCTGCATGGATGCAGCAGTGTAAGGAGCAAGGCTGCTGGGATTAAGCTCTGGAAATTACATCATGCAGTGGTGAGCAGCCCTGTGGCAGTGAAAGTCCTTTTTGAGACCAGGAGGGCAATCAGTGTAGGGAAGGGAATAAGTGGTGTGGGTGTCTCTGGTAGCAGAAGAATGGCAGGAATTTTCGTCCTGTGTTTCTTACAGCCTTCGAGGTGATAATTGTTCCTGCTTGGTAGGGAAAAGGAGCAGAGCAGAGGTTTGGCACAGGTCACACAGAAAGATCTGTGGCAGACCTGAGTGTTCACCAAAGGCCCTGTTCTTCCACAGGTTTGAAAAAATAAAAAGAGGAAAAAGAAAAGATTGACTTTTTGAAGCAGGTGATAGAAGATTGAATTGCAAAAGGCAGCAGGACCCCAGTTTTCTCTTTTCAGAGTTAGAACAAATGTTGGGCTCACCCAAAAGCTATGACTTAGTCAAAATAAGTATTCTTAATAAGCTTGGGAAAGGAGGAAGAAGCACCAGATATTGCTGATGGTGCTGTTTGGTGTCTGGATGAGGGATCCCTTTGGTTCCCCCGAAGGGAACTTCCACCTCTGCTTAAACCAAGGCAGACTCCAGATGTGCTAAAATCCTTAGCAAAGATCCAAAACCCAAGAATTGAAAGGATGTTGGATTATCAAAGATCAAAAACTCTTAATTTTTTGGACCAAAAATTCCAAAATAAGTGGATTTTTTAGTACAAGGCAGGGTAACATCCCCTGTGTCTCCCAAAAGTACATTTACACAGGAACATGTGTTCTGCTAACAAAACATGTGAATTTTGGTGAATTTCAAACCATGCTGCACCCAGGCTGATATTTGCAGCTTGAAAACAGCTGATGGCA